CCTCTAAATTCAAAAGGTACTAAATTTAGAATCGTTTAGTACTTTCCGTATTGATGAGTACACACTCCCACAACTACATACTTACATCGACCCTACTCCTCAACCTTGATCCCTATTCCAAATTTCAAGTTTCTAGCTCTAACCGTTCACATGACACGAAATGGTAGTAAATATGGTACATTTTAGTACTTTTCGTACATTTATAGTGCGAATTTCCAATTAACTCTTTGGTACATCCATCACACACACATACCAAATTTAAGAGTTCTAGGTGAACTGGTTCGTCAAATACAAAGTTCCTTTTAGTACTTTTCGAACCGTTCTAGTACGTATCTCCAAAAACCCAGCCTCATCTGACCCCTACGGACCAAGAGCGACCCTCATCCAAAATTTCAAGATTCTAGCTTCATCCGTTTCGTCTGGGCGTAGGTGAATCATTAAATCCAATCCTAAGTCTTTTTATGATTTTGTTAATCTAAAACGAAAAGTTTCCTCAAAGCCCTCAGTATTGAAATATAACAATAAAGAATTTGTCACAGGCACAGATATTGCTGAATGTTTCGCAGATTTTTTTGCCACAACCTATTCCAGTACATCTTGCCAAATTAAATATTCGTATCCTTATAAGTTATCACAGGCTGATCAAATTTGTATGCCTTTTCTACAACGTCAGGATGTGTACAATAGTCTGCGTAGTTTAAAATCGATTAAATGTCCAGGACCGGATGGCATACCTAATATAATTCTTAAATATTGTTCAGAAACATTAGCACTTCCGTTAACTATATTGTTTAATTATTCACTGAAATTTGGTCACTTTCCTACTTTCTGGAAAAAATCTTATATTATACCTTTACATAAGTCTGGTAGTCTTACTAATGTGTCAAATTATAGAGGAATTGCAAAATTAAGTGCCATACCAAAATTGTTTGAAAAATTAATTACTGCAGTAATTTCACAGAAAATTCAATCTATATTGAGTCCATATCAGCATGGTTTTCGTAGTGGTCTTTCAACTACAACAAATCTTATACAATTTACGCCAACAGTATTAAAAGGATTTGTTCAGCGTAAACAAACTGATACAATTTATACTGATTTTAGTAAAGCTTTTGATAGGGTTAACCATGAACTCCTAATATATAAATTAAATTATATGGGTTTCAACACAAACTTAGTCAAATGGATATCATCTTACTTAAAAGATAGATCACAACTAGTTTTGTTTGAAGGGTATCTATCCAAAACGATTAACGTTCCATCGGGTGTTCCGCAAGGAAGTCACCTTGGACCGGTCCTCTTTCTTTTATTTATCAACGATTTACCTAATTCCATAAATTACTCGAAATTGTTAATGTACGCAGATGATATTAAATTATTAATTTCCCATAATTGTGATAAACGAGCCAGTTTACTTCAAAACGATTTAGATAGCCTTTTTAAATGGTGCAAGTTAAATTGTATGGAGTTAAATTTAAGCAAATGTAAGCATATGTGCTTCTCCAGATCTTCTTCTCTGATATTACAATATAATATTGACGGTCATTCATTATTAACTGTAGATTCATTTGTCGATCTAGGCCTCTTGATGGATCCAAAATTAAATTTTAATAGCCATGTAATAACAATGGTAAATAAAGCAAATGGTGTTTTAGGTTTTGTTAAACGGTGGGCCAAAGAATTTTCTGATCCATATATAACAAAACAGTTATTTACGTCTCTTGTTAGACCTATATTGGAATATGGTTCTGTTGTATGGGATCCTCAATATGCAATATATTCAGATAAAATAGAATCCGTGCAAAAACAATTTCTGCTATTTGCCTTACGAGGTTTACATTGGAATAGTGATTATGTTTTGCCTTCTTATGCTAGCAGGCTAAAATTAACTAGATTGCCTACACTTAAAAGCAGACGTATTATGTTGAACTCCATGTTTGTACTAAAAATATTAAATGGTTATATACCTTCAGATTTTCTAATTTCATCTATTAGAATTAATGTTCCTTTTATATCTAGTAGATACTACCAATTATTATATACTGATTTTCACCGCACGAATTATTCAATGGGCGAACCTCTTAATAAAATGTGTGTTGACTTTAATTCTGTGTATTGTAATGTAGATTTTTGTATGAGTTTAGAAGTTATTAAATCTAGAATAATTTTATTTTTAAACAATAAACATACATGTTTTATTATTTGACAAACTAGCTGATGAATTAGATTCTGTAGCTGGTTTTAAATTTCCTACTGAATTCCCATTATGATGCGGATCATGATGTGTACGCGATCCCTCCGTAAAGGGAGGTCGCCCCCTCCGTCGGCAGGGGTGGGAATGTGAGGCGTGGGAACGTTCGAAAAAAAAAAAACAACGTTGTTTTTCTATTATCAGGTGCTCAATTTCTGTTATATGAAAATTTGAAATGGAACATTTTACAGAGAATTTTTTAATAGAACAAGAATCCAGCAAATAATAATAAACATTCCACATTGCACAGACTTGAAATTTTATATTAAAAAAATATATTCAAAACATGTATTGAATTTGACTCTAACATTTAGTATAGTGAAATCAGGTAGAAACCCGTTATAAATGTTAAAATAAAAATTATTACATTTTATATATAAAAGAAAGTTGTGTTAGTTACTACGCTTATAACTCAAGAACCATGATCTGATTTTAATGATTCAAACAAATTCGGAATTGTCTCTTGGCAGAAAAGGACAAAATCCAAAAAAAAAAAAAAATATATAAAATAATATAAATATGTAAAAATGTGAAATTTGAACGTTTTCATTCTGGCTTTTGACATGTACAAACGTAATGTTTTATTTTGCATGATTTTTTTTTTAATTTTCATTTACTATTTTCGATTGTACATTTGTAGTTTTTTTTTTTTTTTTTTTTTTTTGTTCTAGTATTATGTGTGGTCTTTTGGGGAGTTAAAAGCGGCAACGGAAAAAACTTATAGTTATAGATTTTATGTATTTATTGGGTAAGTGAAACTATACGAATAAAATCATTTAAGAAGAGGATAAGCAATGAACAATATCAATGTTTTATTGTGTACGAACGGTTTTTTCAATTTGATGATGATGATAGATGATGTCGAAATAATTTAACGCGGTTACACTAAAGTTAAAGGATAATTACTTTTTCAAAATCGCTAACAAAAAAAGACTGCCTCTTTGCAAAAATTCTAAAATCAAGAAAAAATCGAGAAAAATTTTTCCAATGGAATCGAATTTCAAAATTATAGTACATTCTATTGACAAACTTCGTAAGGACCTTAGAACAATTGCTGTAAAAAATCAGCGAACAAATTGAAGATTTTTTTTTCAATTTTCCTACATCGTGCTTCAGTTGGAAGATGCGAACAAATTTAAACAAACAAAATTGAACGACAAAGCGTTATGGGCTCATTTCAAAACTTCTTTCATGTGACATTAATGCGTCCAATGAGAACTCAAAATGCAAAACTCATTGGGACTGCAATCAGTGAAATACCGAATAGAAAGGGCGCAAAATAGTAGAGCGAATTGGACATTTAGTAAGAAATTCTTTCAGAAATTCTTCCTAAGCTTTCAAGATACCTTAAATCACTTTTGCAGGTTAAGATATGGGTTATAACCTCCGGATAAGGGTACTACCAAATTAAAGTATATTTTACATTTTTTAATGATCGCAAAAAGCGATCACGGTTTGGTACCACCATACTATTATTTAAGCTATTTTCGGGGTTTTGGCCATTTTTTTTCATTTTTTTTTTTTTGCCATTATTTGGTAAAATTTTCTATTTTCGGAGGAGGGCCCATCTTGGTCTTGACCACATTCATCAATCGATTTGATAATTGCCCACATTGGCATTTATTTAAGGGTAGTCCCCACATTAGTGTACCCCCAAGTCTACTTTTCCAACCAATGTGTAGTCAGAAAAGAAAATTTTGAATTTGTAAATATTGTTTGAATATTGGTTGGTAAAGTAGATTTGGGATGTACGTCTATATGAAATAAACTCTGTCAAACTGGGACTCATTCAGTCGGAAATTGTGGCAGAAACATGAAAAGATACGAATATTAGAAAGTATCGTCATTGAATTATACTATGATGGAAAATATGGACTTATTTCTGTCTCCAACGCACAATTTAAATGTCAAAAAAATAATTCCCATCTTACGGTAATGGGTGTAAAAGAGTGAGGTGGACAAAACTAAATACCACACAGCATGGTATTTTAAAAGATGGAAATACAAATTCGAAATAACAGCTAACGGCAACGCGGACCGGGCAAGCTAGTATTAGATATAAGTAACATAAACATTTTCACTCAAGCTCTACAAACGCAATGAACGACATCTGCCGAGATGATTTGAGCGTCTCGTTGTCTATACATTGTTTTGTCTATGTCAAACATTTAATATGAACATGAATAATGTTAAAAGCAGAAAAATATGAGAAAGATCCGTTCAAGTCAATATTGACATTAACTCGATAAGCTCACGAATATTACAAAAATTCAAATTCAAAAACTTTCAGGGATAGCAATTTACTTTCAAGTGTTATGTACATTTTTTATAAATCCACAATAATTTCGACAGAACTAATAAAACTTTGCGTGGTTTGTACATTTGTGCATTAAATTGGAAGACATTATATATGGGTGCTATAAATCTTGGCCAATTTCAAATAAATTTGTAAGACATATTTCAAAGTTGTATATGATATCGGCTTTGAAGAAGCTTGAATATCAAATCGGCTGGAACACACATGGGAACTATACCAATATCTGATAGGATTTCAATCAAATTCGAAGGTTGGATAAAAATGCAATGCCGAAGTTAATTTGAAATGTCATGAAATAGGTGTGGAAAAGATGTTATGCCGAAAGTTTGGTGAAAATTCTTTGCCAGAGGTTAGATGAAAATGTCATGCCAAAAATGGGTGTCATGCATCATATATCTTTTGGTCTACCCTTTGTTTGATTTATATACTTACCCAAGCGACTGTTCAACGGCAACAATCGGTTTTGTTCCTTTCTTGATTGTATTCTCAACTGGTGCTGAGCTTACATTTTATCCAATGGTGTCCATTTTGTTGTAAAGCTTCCTATAGCAACATTCCACAATAAATCTGTAAAGTAATTTTTATTACTATTTATAGAACCATATCAAATTAAATATAAGCTGCTTACTTGTAATTCTTTAAACAGATTATTTCACAAGTTATAGCAAAGTGTTTTAGACCCTCCTCTAAATCAATGTTTGCAATGACAAATATGTCCCATTAACGTAGTAACTGGCTTACATTTCCTCTAGAATCCAACGACGAGAAGATGATGTAATTGTTCTGTTACTATGTGATACCTTCTGTGTTTTGAAGACTTAGGTTGTCGTATGCTGAGTTTAACGGTAATCACTTTTATTTTGAGTTATTTCTAATCGTACGGTTGTGTGTGAACAAGGGTCTAAAATTAAACTGTTATCGTCATTATTTTGCTTTAAAGGTTAGATCGAAATTATTAAACAATATCTGACCAAGACAATCTTCGTATAAATTTCGTTTAAATATTAAATTGGTTATTTTCATTTAAACACACAACGTAGATAACCTCAATTTTAAAGGCATTGCAAAATAAAACAAACTATTTCGGTGAAATGGAAAGGTAGCAAAATTCCAAAGAAATTTTCTGTCCGCCTAATTAGTAGGTCGATCCGTGTGTTTACAAATAAATCGCGAAAAAACTGTAACAATGATATTATCATGCGATCTAATTGATTATTTTTTATATCCTACAACGCTATGTGTTGGGTGTTTTATAAATTTTGAAATATTCCTATAGAAATTTGGCATGGACGTGCGGTTGCATAGTCAGATTAGAAGCTTATAGGAGGTGATCGCAAGATATTTAGGTTTTAAATGGACCAAAAACAGAAAAATTTCTTGATTTTGCAGGTGCTCTACAGGTCGCAATTACAGACCAATAGACGAAATTTAGCATGGGGCTATAGTTTAAAATACGGAAAATGCAAATAATAGCCAACTCGTATCCAAATATTTAAAAAAAAAAACTTTTAGGCTGGAAATACATAAACCGCTTATCTGGCTGGCTTAAGTCATCGGCTGGCTTCTTGGGAAATGAACAAAGGAGCCTAGGGCCAAAATCGAACTAAATCAACCTAAAACTCCTTTGTTCATCTACGAAGAAGCCAGCCGATGACTTAAGCCGGCCAAATATGCTCTTTATGTATTTCCAGCCTTAAAAACTAACGAATATGTAGTCGCAAGTCATTACTTTACATTTAATTAAACAAACAGCTTTTGCATATGTATGTCTTCTCGATTTGGTTTCAAGCATATTCAGAAATATTTGTTTGAGTTATACGGTGCCGACCCTGTGATACCCTACAACAATATAATATGTTGGAAGTGCCCTCAGGTCCAAACTCATTTTGGTCGTTTTCATTTTTAATATAATGCAAGGCCGGTGACATTGGCCCTACATTTACGTGCCAATCGCTATTCAAAACAATTTCATACAAAAGTTGTGGCCCATTTTACCCGCTACATATTATTACATGGCCATCCAAAGTGCTGCGGTTCTGCCTTTTACAAAAAAAATTGCAAAATCTGGAAAATTTTCCAAATTTCAAAAACAATAGGCTTCAATTCTGACCCTAACTTTCTAGGTTTTTATGAAAATTGTGTTTAGCTAGGCTCTATTTTACCCGCTAAATATTGTCCTAAATCATTTTTTGAATGTGAATGCATGTAATTCTAAAAACATTTTATAGTCTAAAAACATTTCGTGAAAGCTTTTATCGAAATATAGGAACACGGGTCCCTGCATTTTGCCCTAGCACACATCCCAAAATTTTAGATCAAAATGTCAACTTACGAATCATTTTAATATAAGCAATTATGTTCCTACTTTCCAAAATGGCTTGGAGAGGATGTACTAATTTGGTTTATTTGGGCATTTGAATAAGAGCAGGCGGAACTCTATTTGTAAAAAATCAAATTGTAAAAATGGTCAAAATTAAAGATACCTTTTCTATAATGTAGTTTTTATAATTTATATGCGCAGTCCCGGGCAAAAATTAATACACGATATTAGAACAAGAGCGCCAGTAGTCGGCACTTAAAAGATTTTCTTATTTCGTTAATGGGTTAAAAATATGAATGTAAAAAAGGAGAAATTTTTCGTAATTTTGAAAATCTGGAAATATGGATATTTCCCTTAGGGGTATGTGGTTATTATGTCACTCCGTTTGTAAGACCCCCAAATAATATTCTATGTCGATTTAGATTTATCCGTCTGACTGTCCATCTGTGGCAACCACTCTAACTTCTAAACGAAATAAAGTTGGTTGCTACAATTTTACTCAGATGTGTTTTAGTGTGATAGTGGGCTTTATAGGTCTAACTGTAACACCAGATATTGCCCCATTTTGCAAGCTCTGGAGGTAGAGGGAATTAAAAGTTTGGCTCGGTCGATCTTAGCTGCTTTTTAAATGTTATTAACTCTGGCTGTTCCCTGCTTAAAAAGCGAATTCTAATGCGAAAGTAGCATTGACTTTTGACCACTACTGTAATGTTTTTTAAGTTAGCTCTCATTATACAAAGACACTTTTTTCAATCATTCTAAGTACGATTCTCTGACTATTTCGCTTCTTATGGCTCACATGAATGTTTCCTTTTCCAATTTTTTTAATTTTTTGCAGTACCCTTCTTCGTAATAACAAAAAATATTTCTTTGTTATTTCAGTTGTCCATTGAGCGATCACTCGTTAGCGACGGCTCCAAAAATGGAATCAAAACGAAAAGCGACGCCGATCAACTATCGTCAACTGACTTGGTTACTGGGAATAAAAATTTGCAATTTGCAAACCCAAAAGAAAAAATAACAACAAATAGTGAAATATGTTGTTGGGTAAAAATAAACCAGTGTATGTGTGTCCATAAAAATGAGTATAAACAATTTTATTCACCTGCAATTTGCTAATTTGTTTGTTTTGATTTTCGAATTAATAAATCTTCGAACTCACTTTTGATGAAAACTTGAATATTTCACAACTGCACACCATAGAATTTGCCACGAAAATCTCTCAATACACTTATTTTCTTTTTAGTTTATTTATTTCTATCTTGGACACAAAAAATATAATATACGAACTTGGCATTTATTTTTTCACAACCATTTCTTTTCAATTAGAGTTGTGTCGTTCCGAAACGAACCCGTTCAAAGGAATTATTCCCTGATTGGAACTATCGAAGCAACATAAGCAATTTCATTCAGATTGTTCCTTGATTTTAGTTCTTCTTTTTCTACTATGCTTCGCTCAGTGACAACATTTACACTTGCTCTGTTCCAGTACCTGCAAGAATCTTCTAGTTTTGTTATTTTCTTCGATAACATAAAGGGAAAATCGGTTATCGTAGTGAAAACTTTCACATTCTTGCAGTTCTGGAACAGACCAACTGTGGCCGAAATTGTGCCTTGCATTGACATTATGGGGGACAAAAGAAAGTCAAATGAGGTAAATGCGTCTGCCTCAAACTTTTTTGTTCTAATTCGGCATTAGAATGTAAACAACGAGTTTTTGAAAACACTTGCTACTTTACCAACTTTTTTATTGCTCTGCGTTACAAAACAATAGAATAACAGATTATGGTCCGTTCTTATATCTTTCATTTATAGTCCACTTTTGTTATCCCTTACTTTATGAAAAGTGAAAGATAAAGTTCATGATCCAAGTATTGGATCAACCCTGTTGTGATTAGTTCAAAAAATTGTGGTGCTCCGTGCTTTTGAAAAAAATTAATAGTTATTGCGTTATTAAATTAATTAATCTGGTAAAAAAGTGTTTAAAAGTGTTCAATAGTGATTTGTAACTCAAAGTGATAATTGGTGTAGTGTTTTAAAATCTTGTTTTGTGTTTTAAAGTTATATCAATTTTAAAATTGTGTAGTTTTACATTTTCCTTTTATCCTCTTTCTTTTGTTACATTAGCTAATTAGTTGTTGTAACATTATCGTCTTGTTTTGTTTGTCATCTCAAAAGAGTTGCCAACATTAAAAAAAAAAAATAATAAAAAAGAATAAATATAAATAACAAAAATTCCAGCTACAGATCTAATCTTAAATAAATATTTGGAACTTGTGTATTAAAAAAGAAATAGATATAATTAAAATAAAGAAAATGTCGTGCCCTTTTGAATTGTGTAATATTGTTGCAGAGGATGAATTGTGTGTTACCTGTTAGTTTTGTCTTAATCAATGGCATGCAAAATGTGCTAGGATTAATGCAAAAGTAGTAGACACAATTAGAAATAATGTTGGTGTTCGTTGGTGTTGTGTGCAATGCAGGAAACTCTCTGCAGACTTTTATAATTTTGTAAAGGATTTGCAGTCGGAATTGACATCGATGAAAAAAGATTTTTCCTCATTATCACTCCGATTTGAGAATTTCTCTACATTGTTTGAGAAATACCAAGAGTTAGATGAGTTTGTGTCGTCACCGTCAGTTTCTGGACAGAAACGCAAAAGGGCTGCGAAAAAGGCACCAACTAAGGGAATGTCTAGTCGCAAAGCAATAGTTTCTGTTGAGAACACTGTTCCACAACCGGTCTCAGTTAATATCACTGATACAACTGAGACTGGACGTGAACAGTCGTATGCCAGTGTTATTACACACCCAGTTCCGGTAGATAACAGCGGTATAGGTAAAGGGGTAATTAATACTGATGTTATGAATATTGATAGTGAGGTTTCTAAGAAAACCTCACAATCTACTCGTGACATACAGGAATTATCATTTCCTTCACTTATCACTAGTGATCGTCCCGAGACTGCTACTGGCAAAACTCAACCTGTCCAAAGATCATTATCCATGGCCCCCGCCATGAAAATGATATTTGCAACAAGGTTTGCACCAGAAACAACGGCCGATGACATAAACTATTATATAAAATCAAAAATTGAGGGAGATTACTTTTTGAAATGTTATAAGCTCCGATCTGCATTTTCTGAAAGTAGATCTTCTTTCAAAATCGTTGTGCCTGACAATATTTTCGTACAGTTGATTTTAAAAGAAATTTGGCCTGCTAGGGCATTTATTAAAGAATTTGTGGAGAGATCCGATAATTTAGCTCATTTGCCTCTTAGACCAGACTCGGTGCCAAAAAACTAAATGACTCATTTTCTATCTGCTATCAGAATGTAAGGGGGCTTAATACAAAATTAACCAGTTTATATACTGATAGCATTGGTTTCAATTATAATGTATTGGTTTTCTCCGAAACTTGGTTAAAAACATCTATATTAAATAGTGAAATTTTATGTTCAAAATATCAAATATTTAGAAAAGATCGTGTTTGTAAAAAAGGTGGTGGCGTCCTTATTGCAGTTGATACCAAATATACCACTAATTTAATTGATCTAAATGATTTTCTTGATATAGAATTTGTTTGTGTTTCCATTGAATTGGGCAAATCTAAATTGTTTGTAACTTGCTCTTATATTCCCCCCTCATCTTCACTCGACATTTATAATCAGCATTTATCAGAAATAAATTTAATTACTGAAAAAATCAAAGATTCCGATCGCATTCTGATCCTTGGTGATTTTAATATGCCCTCTATTAAATGGCTTCCAATGCCAGATTCTGAAGCTTTGATTCCTTTGCAATTTGAAATGAACAGTACCCAGTATACATTTGATGTTGTAAATAGTTTGTGTGACTTAAATCTTTATCAAATAAACAGTGTAAAAAATTCCCACGGAAAAATTCTTGATTTGTAAATATAACACAGCATTTTGATATATTCAGAATTCCTCCAATATGCACTCCTGAAGATATATACCATCCAACTTTATATATCTCCATGACTCACAGTTATGTAATTGAAGAAAGTCAGTCCGACTCATTTAAAACAGTCCTTAATTACAAAAAAACTAATTTTCGAAAACTTAATACCCTCATTTCCTCCATAAATTGGGCTTCTGTGTGCCTGTGTAACAGCCATACAGATTTAGAATATGTAATTGATAAATTTTATGATATTTTAAATAGATTTAAACTGGAATGTGTTCCAACCACTAGAGTTAAAAATTCAAATAAACATCCATGGATAACCCCTGAGTTATCAAGTTTAAAAAATTCTAAAAATAAGCTTTTTCGTAAATATAAAAAATCAGGCTTAACAATAGACTACACTAATTACTCTGTTGCTAGATCTAAATATACTTTAGAGTCTCGTAGATTGTATAATCTTTACCTAGACAAGATTAAAAATAATGTTAAATCCAATCCTAAATCTTTTTATGATTTTGTTAATCTAAAACGAAAAGTTTCCTCAAAGCCCTCAGTATTGAAATATAACAATAAAGAATTTGTCACAGGCACAGATATTGCTGAATGTTTCGCAGATTTTTTTGCCACAACCTATTCCAGTACATCTTGCCAAATTAAAGACTCGTATCCTTATAAGTTATCACAGGCTGATCAAATTTGTATGCCTTTTCTACAACGTCATGATGTATCCAATAGTCTGCGTAGTTTAAAATCGATTAAATGTCCAGGACCGGATGGCATACCTAATATAATTCTTAAATATTGTTCAGAAACATTAGCACTTCCGTTAACTATATTGTTTAATTATTCACTTAAATTTGGTCACTTTCCTACTTTTTGGAAAAAATCTTATATTATACCTTTACATAAGTCTGATAGTCTTACTAATGTGTCAAATTATAGAGGAATTGCAAAATTAAGTGCCATACCAAAATTGTTTGAAAAATTAATTACTGCAGTAATTTCACAGAAAATTCAATCTATATTGAGTCCATATCAGCATGGTTTTCGTAGTGGTCTTTCAACTACAACAAATCTTATAGAATTTACGTCAACAGTAATAAAAGGATTTGTTCAGCGTAAACAAACTGATACAATTTATACCGATTTTAGTAAAGCTTTTGATAGGGTTAACCATGAACTCCTAATATATAAATTAAATTATATGGGTTTCAACACAAACTTAGTCAAATGGATATCATCTTACTTACAAAATAGATCACAACTAGTTTTGTTTGAAGGGTATCTATCCAAAACTATTAACGTTCCATCGGGTGTTCCGCAAGGAAGTCACCTTGGACCGGTCCTCTTTCTTTTATTTATCAACGATTTACCTAATTCCATAAATTACTCGAAATTGTTAATGTACGCAGATGATGTTAAATTATTCATTTCCCATAATTGTGATAAACGAGCGAGTTTACTTCAAAACGATTTAGATAGCCTTTTTAAATGGTGCACGTTAAATTGTATGGAGTTAAATTTAAGCAAATGTAAGCATATGTGCTTCTCCAGATCTTCTTCTCTGATATTAAAATATAATATTGACGGTCATTCATTATCAACTGTAAATTCATTTGTTGATCTTGGCCTCTTGATGGATCCAAAATTAAATTTTAATAGCCATGTAATAACAATGGTAAATAAAGCAAATGGTGTTTTAGGTTTTGTTAAACGGTGGGCCAAAGAATTTTCTGATCCATATATAACAAAACAGTTATTTACGTCTCTTGTTAGACCTATATTGGAATACGGTTCTGTTGTATGGGATCCTCAATATGCAATATACTCAGATAAAATAGAATCCGTGCAAAAACAATTTCTGCTATTTGCCTTACGAGGTTTACATTGGAATAGTGATTTTGTTTTGCCTTCTTATGCTAGCAGGCTAAAATTAATTAGATTGCCTACACTTAAAAGCAGACGTATTATGTTGAACTCCATGTTTGTACTAAAAATATTAAATGGTAATATACCCTCAGATTTTCTGATTTCATCTATTAGAATTAATGTTCCGTTTAGATGTAGTAGATACTACCAATTATTATATACTGATTTTCACCGCACGAATTATTCAATGGGCGAACCTCTTAGTAAAATGTGTGTTGACTTTAATTCTGTGTACTGTAATGTAGATTTTGGTATGAGTTTAGAAGTTATTAAATCTAGAATAATTTTATTTTTAAACAATTAACATACATGTTTTATTATTTGACAAACTAGCTGATGAATTAAATTCTGTAGCTGGTTTTAGATTTTCTACTGAATTCCCATTATGATGCGGATCATGATGTGTACGCGATCCCTCCGTAAAGGGAGGTCGCCCCCTCGGTCGGCAGGGGTGGGAATGTGAGGCGTGGGAACGTTCGAAAAAAAAAAAATAA